GTTTCATTGTCTGGACAATGGGGATAAAAATATCTGTGCTACATTATTCACAGGAGTAGTTTGAGGAGAAAGTGAAACACTAGAAAGCACTTTTATTTTTTCAAAACACAATATAAATGCTATGTCACAAAACCGTCCATAATTTTACATGTACCTCTTAGTGTTACCCAGTCAGATGTGTGCTTAAGACAGGCGTTCCTACAAGATCACAGGTTGAATATTTAGTTTGATTTTATTTTAAAAATAATAAATCACAAAACTAAAATGTTTGAACAAGGTCACTTTAACCCTCTCCCCAGGTTGTTAGTCATAATTACTATTATCATCGTTATTATTACTTTTGAGCTAAAGGTTTAAAAGAGGAGATCTTTACTATGTCAGCCTAACTGGGAAAACGTGTCCCTGGCACAGGTGGTTTTCAGAAGAAAAGCCGATCTTCATATGAGCTGTGTCCTCTGCTTTTATTTGAAAGTGCAAAACCTAGGTGGGAAGGGACGGAGTGGGAACTCCGGGTCTGTCACTGAGGGACCAATTCCCTCAGAGAGGCCAGAGCAGCATGGATGCGGACATGCAATCTGTTTTCGAAGTCGTAGCCAGAGAAATCCTCCTGTAAGACCAAAGAAAGATACATATGGCCTCTATTAGCCAACCTTTCTGAGCTACTGCAGTGTAAAGCACACTAAGTGTTGTACTTCCCAATGTAAAATCCCTCCCTCTCCCACTAAAGGCTTTACATCCACATGACTTTCTTACCCAAACCTCAAACTGTGTTCATTTTGAAAATGTCAACTGAATGTCATTAATGCTGTCTTTCAAAAATTTCCCTCATGTTATTATTCCTGACATGGGAATCTTAAATTGTGCTCAATGTAAGTTGTTGTTAGAAATTCTTAATTCAAGAATGTAGTTACGAAATAGCAAAAGTTATTTTCCCAATTAAATAAGCAGAGTGGTTCTAAAGCTGGATGAGCAGTCTCATAGGAGTTATTGATGACAATGGTCATTTCACTTAAAAATCAAGTGCTTGCTGATTCAATTATTATGACTTTTCCTTTCCAGAAATATCAATCAGAACAATCACTTCACAAAATTTCCTGAGTTGAGACTCAAGTGTACATTACAGAGGATAAGGAGGCCACTGGAAAGAGAGAGGTTCAGTATTTTTACCTTTGCTTGAAGAAGTAGAGTTCTGCCTCTTGCCACAGTCTATGAATGGAAGAAAAACATTATCTCTTAGTGCCTATGTTTATATACACTCAAGCAGAAAATGTTATGAGTGGATATGTTAACTGAATTAATTTATAGGTAGACATAGAGGTGAGTCGATTGCTCACTCAATTAAAATAACTCAATTTTTCCTTATTATAATGATGCGAATAAGTTTACATGAAAGCATTACTTAATAATTTTCATAATCTTCATGGTAATTTTATAAAGGATAACAACTTATAAGGGTTATAATAGTTTAGGTTAAGGTCTTACTAAACTACCTAAAATTGCTGATAATGAAAAGGTTTATCTGAAGTAAGTTGTATCTCCTTTTGAAGGCGTTACTGATAGAGGACATCAACTTCACTTTTCAAGAAATAGATCGGTCTTGTTATATTTTATGTATATATTTTAAGGCTGCATTAAGGGTAAAATTTTTCTTAAACACTATAGTTTTAGGACTTTCTACAAAAATTTGTTAAAATTGCATTTTGCATTTTCATAAAATTAGAATTTCAAATAAAAAGTCTTACCAATTTAAAGCCTATCTTTGGCAAGACAGGCTACACATTTAAGGGATATGCTATAGTCATATTTCTGTTGATGTAGCTCAACTTTTAGAAAGTCCATGTATTTGAAATCTGAGTTGAATTTACTAAAAATGAGAACTTTATAAAGCCAGTATTATGTTACTGAGCTTCTCAAAGAAGGTACCAAACAAATGCAGTGCTATTAAAATCTTATTAAAAAA